CTTATTAGATTCACAGCACAACTATCAGAAGAGAATGGTTGGGTATAGTTAAAAATAAATAACACTGAAATGGACACCTCACCAAGAGTACTCCAACTACATTATTCATCTAGATTATCATTCAGATTTGAAGCATCAATACAGAGCTTCATGGACAGGCAACAGCTTAGATTTGCCTGTCCTAAATTAGGTTTGCCTGCTTTCACAGCATTAAAACCATTTTTACGAGAAGTGTTAAAGTAACTTCTTTAAAAGACTAGACAAACTCAGTACTTTGCCAGAGTTTGACATTCACTCATGGTACTTAGTGTTGTCCTTAAGATTAAAAAGATATCTGCATATTCCTAGTTTGCAAAGGAATTTTTATTTTTCCAATAATTAATTAAATTTTTCTTTATATTGAATGTGTTATATTGAGGAGATTTTTGTAACAGAAAATTTTATTATAAGCTATCACATCGCTTTAGGAAAAAAACACTTTTATACCTTTCTATTCACATTTCCCCTCACAATTTTCTTAATTCTCTCCTCACTTACTAAATTGTATAAACATAGAGTTTATCTATATCATCTTAACTACACAAAGTATTAATATAATTTTATCCATACAATTATTTTAATTAGCCTATACAAGACCTATAAAAAGATAAAAATATGAGATTTTTGAAAAACAATCTGGAGGCTAGAAATATTTTTTTAATTATTATTAGTGAAACACCATGAGGTACAGTTGTAGATTTACAATTTTTTGTGCTTGGGTTTCAATTATACAATGATCAAATACCCATCCCTCCACCAGTGCCCATTTTCCAACACCATGGATAATATCTCTCCCACCCCCATCCCTCCCATCCCACCCTGCCTCTGAGACAGGGCAATCCCTTGTGTTCTCTCTCTCCTTTTGGGTGTTGTGGTCTGCAAAAGAGGCTTTGAGTGGCAAACATGTTCAGTCCATAGTCTACTTTCAACATGCATCTCCCCTCCTGGGAGGATCCTCCAAACACCCTTTATAGTACTCCCTTCTCTATCTGAGCTGACCTTTCCCCTAGAATGCCCGGCTGGCCTCTAAGCTATGGAGTAATCCTCCTGGTGCTGATCTCAGCTATTCTTGGGGAGGCTAGAAATATTTTTAATGGGGAAATAAAAGTAACCTTTACTAAGTTTGGACTATTGAGATCATAGGTGGATATTTGTGTTTTCTGAAACTTCCCAAGAGAGATGAAAATGTAGGTCTCACATGAAATGCTGCAATTTTTAAATGCTAAGCATGAATGCTTAGAGTTAAACTCATATGCAATGATAACAACAAAATGAGGGATGGTAGACTACTTTCGATCAGGTAGATAAAAACTAAATAGCTAAACAACAGAAGTCTATGTAATGAAAATATTGTGCTAGGCCATGCTCTCAGATCCAATTAGTTGATATTTTCCTTGTTTGATTGTTTGTTTGGGGTTTTGGTCTCACCCTGTGGTGCTCAGGGACTACTCTCCACTTAAGTGCTCAGTAGATGCTCCTTGTGGTGCTCCAGAGACCTTGCATTGTCTGGAATTGTGCTGGGCGTCCAGAACACAAAGCATGCATTCAGTTGACTGAGCCATCTCCCTGGGTTCACATTTACACATGAAAAATTATGTCTTAGCATTTTATGTCCCATTTTGCAAAGTTAAAAATAAGGTATCCTTCAAATAAATATTTACTAAAGATTTATTATATACCAGAAACTGATTAAAGTATTAGACATACTATGTAATGGTAAGTAGGATACTAAACATGTTCAAGAGTATATAAACATAGAAAATTTGAAAAGTTTAATGAAAGTTTAAACCTGTTTCTAAGAAATAGGTTTCATATGAGCATGGTTACTTGGGATGAATAATGTTGTTTCTCCTAGTTTTTTGCAATGTCTGAAATTAAATATATACGTATTCTTTCCTGAGACCTAAGTTCACCAAAAAATGATCTGAATAAAGAATATTCTTTTTGACTTATAATAATAAAGGCTTTCAGGCTGTGAGAGCTTTCAGTCAGATCAAATCAAGCCAGCCTCATAAGCATTCTTCAAGGGAACTAGTAGGTCAAAGAATGTTGATTCGCAGGAATCAGATCTTTGAAAACTCCCTGCTTATTCTGCCCACCCAGTGCCTCCAGTCTGCTGACTTTCTTCATAAAAAGCAATAGTGTGGTATTTTTCAAGTTAACTCAGAGTAGTAGAGACACAAAATAAAATATCTCATACACCACATGGCTTACTTTTCTAATAAGAATCATTTTTCTTGAATAAATGTTCCCTAGACTGCTAGGAGAATTTTGGTTAATTTCCAGAGTTTTGAAACATTTATTTAGACATTTGCCAGTTTCCTCATGACTTTTATGAAAGACAAAATTTTCAGAGGCCTTAACACAAAAATGTTGGTTTATTTTCACACTGACACCTCATATTTAATCCAGAATGATCTTGATAATCAATTACAAGTGATACATCCAACAACATTGTATTAAAATATCTCTTTATTAGAATTGCATATTTCAAGCACTCATTTTCTTTAAATATAATTTATAAATTTTATTCATTTTGAGTTTCAAGACATATAAAATATGAAACCTGGGTTTCATATTCATCCCTTCCTCATGCTTGGACAAGTACACAGTCCCCCAATTTCCCAAAAACAATTAGTTACGCTTCAGTAGTCACATCGGATATATTATACCAAAAAATCATCACTAAAAACCATGGGGGGGCTGGAGAAATAGTATAGCCAGCAAGCAAGGCACTTGCTTTGCATGCTGCTGACCCAGTTTCAATTCTGATACCCAAGAAGGTCACCTGAGCCCCCCAGTAGTGATCCCTGAGCACAAAGTCAGGAGGAACCCCTGACCAGTACTGGGGGTTCTCTACCCCAACAGAAAATAAATGGGGAATTTTGAAAAATATACATTTAAAAATTCAAATGAAACCTACAATATCCTAACAATTTTATAAAAATAAATTATAAAGTTGTTAGAATAGGTAAGATTCAATCCCTAATATAAACATTACATTATATAAATAAAACAATTTTGTTTTAGAAATAATTTAAATAATTAAGTAATCCATCACCCCAAGATTATAGTTGCAAAGGCAATGCAATATTAAATTGTACTCACAGTTATACTTTGCAAACCTTTTCTGAATTACTTCCCAATGGAATGGGAAAAATTCAAACTAAATTCAAAGAGAACATTACATAGGTCACAAGTTTTTAAAAATTAATTTCAACCCATACTTTGTTACTTTATATCCCCCAGATGAATGCAATCTTTCTATGTCTATCCCTCTCTTTCTGACTCATTTCGCTTAGCATGATACTTTCCATATTGTACCACTTGTATGTAAATTTCATGACTTCATCTTTTCTAAGAGCTACATAGTACTCCATTGTGTAGATGTACCAAAGTTTCTTTAACCAGTCATCTGTTCTTGGGCTGAGATCAGCACCAGGAGGATTACTCCATAACTTAGAGGCCAGCCGGGTATCCTAGAGGAAAGGGCTATTCAGATAGAGAAGGGAGCACCAAATAAAGGATGTTTGGAGGATCCTCCCAGGAGGGGAGATGCATGTCGAAAGTAGACTATGGACTGAACATGTTTGCCACTCAATGCCTCTTTTGCAGACCACAACACCCAAAAGGAGAGAGAGAACACAGGGGATTGCCCTGCCACAGAGACGGGGGGATGGGGGGATGGGGGTGGGAGGGATATTATCCATGGTGGTGGAAAATGGGCACTGGTGGAGGGATGGGTATCTGATCATTGTATAATTGAAACCAAAGCACAAAAAATTGTAAATCTACAACTTTAAAAAAAATAAAATAAAATAAAGGGGAAAAAAAAATTAATTTCAACCCAACAACTCTGTCAAGTCCTAGAAAGGGCAATTTAAATTATTCACGGAACAAATTATTTTCATACTTAAAAATGAAAAGTACAACACATACTTAAAGATCTTCATAGATAGATGCTAGCCTCTGTATAGAGGTTATAAGAAAAGAAAGGAAGGAATGCACTCTGGGAGGTAGATAGAGAAAGAAAGAAAATAAGAGATTAAAAAGAACTACAAAAGAGAAAAAAACTATCAGAATTGACAGTATTATATTAGCCTTTTTTTTCTTTAATTTTTATTAGTGAAACACAAGACCCAGAGACTATAAAACCCAGCTCCCAGAAGCGCGCAGCTGCAAATGCAGCCATGAGACATCTTATTATCTCATTCTTACTTTGGACAACCTGGTGGGCTACTAAATGTAACCTGCCCACACGGCAGAGTCTGGCAAACTCCCCATGGCATACCAAATATGCCAAATACCAGTAACAATGATGGGTCTCATTCTCCTGACCCTGAAAGAGCCTTGAAAATGGCACTTTTTAAAATCTCAGGGCTAGGGCGAAGGAGACGTTACTGGTGCCTGCTTGAGACAATCGACGAACAACAGGATGATCGTGATCATGATATTAGCCTTGGTTCTAAGTGAGTGGTGCAATTTTTTGGCTTATATTCTGGATTACCTTGACAATGCTAGTATTATTTTCTACTCTTTCTCTATTGCAATAATAGTTTTGTAAGTAAAAAAGAAATACAAATTTGATAAAAATTCATTAAGAATTTTAACATATGATCTTTTATGAATCAGAACAACTAATCAGAAATATTTAGATTTCATTATAATGTAATTAGTATAGGAATAATATGCTTGGTTTTCTCATCAAATAATTAATTTAAATTCTGCTTCTTAGGTTTTTATAATAAAGCTATTAAATTTCACATGTCTTGAACTGAACAATCTTAGAGAATATGTTTACTAATCAATCACAAAATCATTTTCCTATATTTTGAGGTCCATTCCTATACATAACCTCTTTTAACAACAAATAGGTCCCACTGATTTTCAACCAGTCATGGCACTGAACATAAAGGCTACTTACATAGCTTTAGCTGTGTGGAAAATTTCCTAAAACTTACCCCATTTTTTGGAAAAGCAATCCATCCCAGGTCCCCCATGACAGTACGTGAATCCAATAAATTCACTGAAAGAGAAAAAAACACAAAAATGAGTGAAAATATCAAAACACATCACAATTTCCATAGTATTATTAAAAGTGCTATCACTTATGCAAATGAAATTAGATCACGCATTCATTTTGATGCATGTGAGGGTTACAATTTAAGGAATGTCATTTGGATGCAAGAGAACATGTGCTTTTTGAATAAGTAGTTGGAAAACAATCTCAGCAAAGTTACATAAACCTGTCATTAATTTAACTGCTTTCTTTTCAAACAAGAATGAAGGGAAAACAATTAATAAAATGTGGACGAGAAAAATAGTGCCAAGGTTAAAGTGCTTGTCTTGCATATTGCTTGACACCGAAGCACTGCCAAGGAATGATACCTGAACACAGAGACAGGAATAAACCACAAGCCACGAGCACCAATGGTAACACACACACACACACACACACACACACACACACACACACAACCCATTCTGAATTAATGAAATAATTATTAAAACTATGAAAACAAAATAAGTGGAAAAGAAAACCATAAAAGTTTGTTTGTGTATGTGAAAACGTGTAAAGACAAAGCCACCTTCTAAAAGCCTAGGTTTGGGGATTATGCTGCAGCCATAAAATTGTGGCTAAATGTATTGTTTTCTTCTAGAAAGCTGTTATGAAGCAATTAACAAATAATTTACATTAAACAGCAATAAACTATTCCCAAGCCTGTAACATTTTTTGAGATATTAACAAAAATCTGTAATCCAAATTGCAAATTTAATTAAGAAATAAATCTGCACACCCTTAACCAAGCCAAGGAAATTGTAGCACTTTCAAGGTTGTTCAACTGTTACCTATGCACTGCAGTCCAGGAGACAGCTTCTGCTTATTCATAAATATGGTCAAAATAAGTGGTTTGAAGAACTATCAACTAGAATTTTCAAATGGGGCTTCAATTATGACTTTTTATGCTAAAAATATGTTTAAATTCCCAGGATTGATTGGCGTTGGAGCAATAGTACAGCAGATAGGTATGTGTCTTGCACATGGCCATCATCGATATGATCCCAGCATCCCGTATGGTCTTCCAAGCACTACAAGGAGTAACTCCTGAGTGTGGAGCTAGGAGTAACCCCTAAGCAACACTGGATGTGGTCCAAAAAACTAGACACACACACACACACACACACACACACACATTTCCAGGATGTAATGCCATCAATGTCAACAGAATTAATTGATAAATATGTACATTTAAAGGCATGTGTTCAACTGTCTCTTTCTGCCACTCCATGTCTCTTTGTCTCTGTCTCTATCTGTCTGTCTGACTCTCTCTCACTCACTCTCTCGTTCACTCACTCGCTCTCTCTCTCTCATGTCCTAACAGTTTACCCAGGTTTATCCAGTACTCCCTATGAATCAAACTCTTTGTAATGTAGTCAAACTGCTTTTGCCTTGGATCTTTTTTGATCATCTTTCCAATGTATTATCTCTGTACCAGATAGATGTACTTGGCCCACTTTTGAGTCAGGGTGGAAAGTCTTCCCAAAAGGAGATAAACTGGCTTATTTCTAGCACTAAAGCTTTTAAAAACTATATTCAAAAGCCAATTTCTTGAATTTCTAACAATCCTAAATATATGGTTCTATCTGTCATCATAAACCTAGGGAACTAAACAAATATACTTAATAGAATAAAACATATGTTAAAAATAATTCTCTAAGAAAATGCAAGATAAAATTATGATGACTGAAGAATTAGTATCACAACCAAATTTAGAATTTTCTGCATATTCATAAAATATGTATTATGCCTATATATGTCATCAGTTTTTCATACAGTCAATGCAAAAATATATCCATACATAAGGAACCACAGATATAGTAAAGAGATTAAGATGTAAGCAATCAACCCACCATGATCACAAATACCACATGGTCCACCTATGCATTGCAAGTGCAGCTCTGGAATACCACACAACATCATGTGTAACCTAGGATGCCCCAAGTACCACAAGAATGGAACTCTCCATGGTCTCACAGCGAACTAATGAACAACGAAATATTTTTGTTGATTGACCCCTACCTCCTGAGCACTGTTTGGTTGTCATTCACTCACCAAAAAAGGAACCATATGTATTATAAATTAATAGTTTTTAGTAATACTAGTGTGCTGGAGCAATAGCATAGCGGGTAGGGCATTTGCTTTGCAAGAGGCTGACCTGGGTTAGTTTCCTCCACCTCTCTCAGAGAGCCTGGCAAACTATCGTAAGTATTCACCCACACGGCAAGGCCTGTTAAGCTACCCATGAATTATTCGATAAGCAAACACAGTAACAACAAGTCTCACAGTGGAGACATTACTGGTACCCGCTCAAGAAAATCGATGAACAACGGGAGGACAGTGCTACCTTGCTATAGTAATACTAGTAACATTAAGCTAAACAAAAAATAATAATTATAGAAAGCACAAATATGTGCAATAACGTAAGCATATGCTATAACATATATGTGTGTATGTTCATCCATTATATTATTAGGCATGAGCTCTTCAATTAGAAAAAGGAATGTGTATAGAAAATTTGTATCATCTTTAGTCTACTCATTTTATGTAGGCTTGGGGAAATAAGAAATAATGCATGGCATTGTTGTCTTTAGCAAAATGGATCTCACTGATATGTGACTATTTAAAACAACAAAAGTAAACAAAAGAAATTCCAACCAAAACTATCTCACTACCCACAGATATCACAAATCTACTAGTCAAATACTACAAATATAATTTCTAATTTTTCAATTAAATCCATACTCCTATTTTCTCTATATTGTTGGCTTTTTTTTCTTTAGGATCCTCTGAGAATAAGGTTACATTAAACATAAATGTCCTTGTCCTCATTTTATTTTTTTCTGGGGCACTAGGGCTATGTCTAGACATGATGAAATACCAGGGGAGTGAAGAACTTAAGTAATTATGTTTATTTGTCTTCATTATTCACTTGACTCAGTTTTGACATACAGCAACAGCCTATCAGACAAGATAAAAAGAGAGCAAAGGAAGCAAACTAAAGAACTTTTACTGGAATAGCAGTCTGCATACCAGAGAAAGAGTGATGGATAAGACACTTCCTTTGAATATACCCAACCTGGGATTGATCCCTGGCACCAAATATGGCCCACACGGAGTGATCCCTAAGTGTGGAGCCAGGAAAAAACCCTGAGCACTGCCGGGTACAGCCATAAAATCCAAAACAGAATGAATAAGATTGGTTCCTAATATATAGAGTTCAATACTGAAATCATTAGCATATACATAAAAATAATCAATAATAACCTAAATGATATTATTATAATATTGTCAAAAGAAAAATCTAGAAAAAAAGACCTTATGTCACAGCTGACTACCATTTAAAATTGTTTTCCTCCGGGAAAGAAACTGTTTAAGAAAGTTCACAATGCAAAGTATTTACATATTCCATTACTGATTTGATAATACAAAATAAAGCATCAAATTTCAATGTTTTGGGTAAATACTTCAGATTTCTAATAATACAATTGTGCTCAGATAGTACACTGCAAACTGGGATTTTTATGCTTCAAATAAATAATTGAAATTATATAGAAATATAATTTAACATAGTTTATGATGTGCACATGAAGCAATTAACATTGATGCAGACATAAATAGACCTAAAAAGACAAAAGCAATAGGTTTAAATGTGCACATAGTAATGTATATAACTAGGTAAAGAGAGAAGTGAGAGCCTTATTTTTGTACAATAGTCCCATACCTTGCATTGCTACTTTAATTTTTTCAAATTCTTATATATGGTTTCCCTTTCAAAACTGCTTCTCTTGGATGCTGTCTCTGATCGTCCTTTTCCTACATTCAGTAAAGTATTATTACTAAGTATTCTAAAGTGCCCAGTAGTCAAACCCAAAACACTGAATGCACAGAGCTACATTGATTCATGGAAAGAGTATTATGGTTGACTCATGCTTCTGAACAGTGGTTTGAGACAAACTGTTCTACTATGACTGAAATAGCTGGTCAATAGTAAGATCAAGAGGGTATGGTTGCAACTACTTATAATAGTAGTTCTCAATAGGGACATGTGACAATGTATGAAGAAATTTGTTTGTCAAAACTATACATGAGGGTGTGTGTGTGTGTGTGTGTGTGTGTATGTATGTTTGTGTGTATGTGTTTTGTACGTGTGTGTGTGTGTTTGAGGGGTAGTTCCTGCTATGGTCATTTCATGGGAGAAAACTGGCATACAGCATGTCCACTGAACCCATCACCCCAAGAAAAATATTGATTGGATAAAATGTTATTAGTGCTAAATTGAGAAACAATAACATAAACTCATATGTTAGAAAAAATCCCTACTTTCACAATTATTTGTAAAGTTTATCAGTAGTGTGATTTTCATTAATAGAAATTAATATATCTGCAGACATGCCTTATGATCTAAACAGTAATTCTATTTAAGTAAATGATAGTAATGAAACTGATCTTGTCTCAGGAAAAAGAGCATTCTAAATCCAACACTCCTAAATTATTTTTTACATAAATATATGACAAAAATGAAAGGTATTCTTATCTATTTTCAAATAAATTCTCAACACTTATGAAACATGTCATTAAATGATATTAATATTATTGTTTAATATTATTAAATAATATTAGTTTCATGTCATTAATATTATTTATGTGTCAATTTTCCAGATTAAGTTAGTTAAATATTTAAAAGGCAAGTTATGATACAGTATATAGGAAAGTGAATATTCAGAAGTCCATTTCTCCATTTTATTACTGAATTTATTAAAAGGGTAGAATGGAAGAAATAGAGTACTGCCACTAAGATATCTTCTGTGCTACAATTACAGTAATTAAATTGTTCTGAGCAGTATATATGCTTGTTGTAAATTGCAATAAATACACAATGAGTATTGATCTTCATTGTACAACTTAATTAAAACTTGTCTGGAAGAAGCCACTAATGAATATAATTAGAGAAAATGTTTGATACC